TACTTCATCGCAAGACATTCTTTGTCGAGGACTGGGTACTTCTTCTCAGCAGCCATAAGCAGGCGAGATTCGAGCGCGATCACCCGATCTCAGCCCTCGGCGACTGCTTGCAACAGTGCACAGCCGATGGCAAAGTCTGAACCGTCACAGACGACACTATAAGGACGATCGTAGCCTGTCAATGCCAGTATTGGTGCATAATAAAAGCTGTCTTTGACCCCGTCAAAAGCCTACACATGCTCGGTGTCTCAACACCATTTCGTATCCTTCTGAAGGAGACTCGACAACGGCCGTGTCGTTTCCGTATAACTCTCGCTGTAGTTGTACAAGTAGTTGGCGAGACCAAGCCACTTACGCAAGTCCTTCTGCGGGATTCGCTCAAAACAAGGTCACCCTTCCCAATGAAGCACTCTATAAAAGGGATTTCTTCAGCGCTGAATATACTGTTGTCTGCATTAGCATACAGCATATTCGTGCGCGTGTGCTCGAGTACCGCTCTCAAATGGACATTGTGTTATGCCTCGTCTGTCCTCCCGTGACCCGCACGGTTGTGGGCGAAGATGTCGTCGAAGTATGTCTGTGCATACGCCCAGTGGGGCCTGAACAACTGCGCCTCAAGACGATTAAATGTTGCTGGTGCAATTGACAGTCCTTGGGACATCATGAGCTCTTCCTATACCATGCCGCTCGGAGTACTCACCGCAGTCAGCGGACAGTCACTCGCTCTCATGAGCAATTGGTAATGCACATCGACAAAGTCGAGTGCATTGTACTTCGTTCAGCCAACCATGTTATTCTGGAGAACATCCTTCATAGGAATCGGCGTCTGCGCCGGAATGGTGGTGGCGGTAAGTTTATTGTAAGCATGAGCGATCAGCCACTTGCCGTTCGACTTTCGGACACAAAACGTGTGTCTCGAATGGAGAGACTTGCTCTCATGCACTATTCTTGCCTCATACTTTGCACAGAAGAAAGCGTCAATGGCGTCACACTACTCCTTGGGCAGAGGCCATTGGCGTGTTACGCAGTATATGGTTCCCGGAACCAGGTCGATCTCATGATTCACTTCTCGGTCCAGAGATAGTACCGACGGCGGGCTTTGGAGACGACGTCTTGAGATTCCTTTCAAAGGATAGTATGGATCCGAGGGATTCTTTAGGATCGAACATCCACTTTGTGCATTCAGCACCCTCCTGGACAGCTCCATCCAGGAGCGACGACGAGTTGATCTCCTCGTCCGGTCGTATAATGACCACTTGGCTAAGTCGCCTGCTTTCAAGGCACTGCCGAATCTTCGAAGGACATCTCGTTCGGCTGAAAAAGAGCATTTACCGCAGGTATAGCCGCAAGGGTGACGTCGCCGCCTCCCTCTCCCACCATACCGTTGACGAGGGTGTATAGCTGTGCGGTATTGTCTACGATAGAAACGCCCTGGGTCAGGATCGACCCCTACGTCCTGTAGATAATATTCGGCGTCGCCGTTGACCCTTCACAGAGGTGCTATGTCTCAACGGGATCAGTGGGAACACGCACTTAGCGTCGTCCATTGTTCCTATCCCCTACTCCATCGGAGCCTTGGTGTTATTAACATCCGACGAAGAGCTGCTAATTCAACAATCGTTATCCAGTGGATAACGTGCCACCCCACGCACATCAGAAAGGCCTTACCGCAGATGCCTCAGACCTCGTGCGCCCATGCCACTCTTGGCATGTAGCAACTGCTTCGAAACGTGGGCAGTGTTTAGCGCACTTCATGGGGACTCGCCCTCGATGCCTCGTCCCTAGGCCAACTATACCACGACTGCTTCGAAACTTGAGCAGCACTCAGTGGGTTACGTGCCACTCCACGTTCAGTCCGCGAGCCACGTTTGGGTCTCCTGTCAATACACCTTCGATCTTCGACAATTCGGATACTCCAATCTCTAGCACGTTGACCGTCCCGGTCCAGAGCCCGCACCAATAGCGCTTCTATTCTTAGCAGAGGTGGTTTGATGACTAACTAAAGCTCCACAAGCAGAAGATTAGATGATAAAAATTACTATTTCAAATAGAATTCAAATCAAAAATTCAATGGAATCATTAATTGATCATTTTAAATATTATTCTGAAGATATTAGTGTAAATAGTGGTAAACCTCATACAGTAATTGAAGCTCCTTAAGGGGAATACGGTGTGTATGTAATATCAAATGAAACAAATAAATCTTATAGATGTAAAATAAAGTCACCAGGATTTTTGCATTCACAAGCATTAGACTTTATTGCTAAATATCATATGATTGCTGATCTTGTTACAAGACACCGAAGTCCTAATGGACCCTCAACATCGTGACACATGTCACCATCGCTAAGCGGACAGTGACGGTATCACTCGACCGCGCTTTCAATGCCTCAGCACTCAGCAGACTTTCTTGTATCGTGGAGCGTCGAGCATAATTGCCCGATACCCCGAAGTCGATAAGGGTCTTCCATATAATTTCAAATCCCTTCACGGTCGCTTTCACAACCAACAAGCTGGGCTTGCATACACGTTCCGGTCTCAAGAGCACGTAGCTCCTTGGGGCTGGACCTTGCTGCCCTCTACCTCTTTGAGGCTCAACAGAATCAGCTTTTCCCCAGTAGCGGTCTCCGCGCCTACTGAGTGTTCTCATTATCCCACGACAAACCAGAAGACTGGTGAAAAGCGTTGCATCCGCTCGATGAACCTTGATGCCGTTTTAGCAGGGGGAACCAGTTTGAAGGTGACGGGTGTCGCCACAGACAGAACACCGTCGGGTGTTCGAACGCTGCCCGGCAGCTTGGAGGTCTGCCTCCTCTGTCTTAACATAGCTGTGATCCACCCGACAAACTGTTAGAGTGTGCATTCCAACCAAGTTGTGTCAGCTTTAAGTTGAATTCGGTATTTAATGCCACATTCACCGCTTCTTCAAAGGAATACGGATGCACACGGAAGGCTTCCATTCTGGTCACGCCAGCGCGGAGGCCCTCCATAAAGACGGTCGCTGTGACCGCCTTGAAGAATGAATCGGCTTTCAATACGGTAACGAGAGTTCGCAACTCTTGGAAGAAGTCCACCAACTATTTCTTGCTCTGTCGGGCGGCAAGGAAACGAGAGTGCACTCGGTATGCCTGGTGAAGCGGCGAGAACACTCGCAAAAGCTGCAGTTTCAGCTCCGACCAGAAGAGGAACGCCGCTTTCATCGAAGTACCGCACGTCAGTACCCATTATCACGCTCTTGAAGATAGCTAGCCACGCGCTGTTGACGTTCTGGAGCATGGTGGATGCGGTAGCCATCTCGGCCTCTCTTACCCAGAGCAGGAAATTCCACCCAACCTTACCATGGAAGGTCTTAACACTCACCATGAGTGGCCTGGGTCGGGTGGAGTCATACTTATCGACGGTGGCGTCGTGGACGCAGTAGTTGCCGACATCTTCTGCTCTAGGTGCTCTAGCAGAGCATTTTCCTAGCTCGAAAACGTCTATAAGCGCGCGCTTATCGATTTGGGTGCTTGCGAAGCAAGGTGTTGCACACCCTCAGGGCCAAGCAGGGACAATAGCTTCTTAAGCCCGTCCTGTATGCCGTGGGCAAATAGGAGAACTTCTTTATCCACACGGAGGATCAGTCGTAGCGACTCAGGTGTAGATTGACTGCGAGTGCTACCAAGTGCAGCGGGGCTGTCGTAGCTGTTTGCTTAGAGGAAGCTTACTAAGGTCACCGACCTTACGTTCTATACGAGAACCAGTACGAGTGTAGCGGATCGCAACCCGCTACCTCCAAGAGAACCCAAAACCTTACCCCAAGGCAGATGTACTCTTCCGCTCAAAATTAAAAATCACATTAATCTGTTTTGTTTGCGGCAAAGCCGCCAATATCTAAATATCTAGGCTCTCCTAGTTAAATAGTAAAAACTTTTGAATATGCATAACTACTGGCAGTCCCGCCACGTAGTGACTTCTTGTTACGGTGTAGCCACACCACCTTGTATGACCCACACCTTTGTACGGTCACACCATCTTGTGTGACCCACACCTTTGTACGGTCACACCATCTTGTGTGACCCACCCTTTACTACAAGGGTACGTGAAACCCCGTTATAGACGGTCAGCTATCACTCTGTCGAAACCAGCAGACTGGTCAACGCTGCCTCTTTATGCAGCGAGGGTTTGCAACGCCGACACGCGTCACACATGCGCAAATATGTGCTTACCCTACTGAGCCACCAGTACGTAGCTTCCCGAGTCGTGTCTTTTCTAAATCGAGGTTGCCAATCATGTTCCTCAAGCAGTTATTTGTACTTAAACCCTCATCATGCGTCACTACTACACACTGGGTGTCATGTTGGTCTGTGCTGTAATACAGCAAGTCCCGGGATAAGACTTCGATAAAGCGACATTTTTGCTGTAAAGCTCAGCTTTCTACTCAGAAATATACGCGTTTTGAAAAAAGTTCACGCAAATTCGCTCAATATACTCTGCTAAATTGGACATGTTATCCATTGACAATTTGTGATCAGATTAGGTATACTCGAATCGCGTTGTGGAGGATATGCGCTTGCGCGAGAGACCGCGGTGCTGGGGCGAGTTGCCCCTACTCATGTTGCTGCGTTGAATAACACAGTACATACCACTGTTTACCCGTTGCCAAATAGATTATTAAACCTTTCTTGCCTTTGACACCGTCACCGTCTTGATGAGTTGCGGTCTAAATAAAATAGAGCCGTAGAGTAAGTCTGACTTGCAGATACCAACCTGGCTGTACTTCGTAATAAACAAGTGATTTTGCCTCACTGAGAATAAGAGTCATGGGCGTGCGACGCTATATTTGGAAGTAAACGAACAAAAGCAACACAACAATGACACAAACAGACAGTAAACAGAACTACGAACAGATAAATTCGATAAGTGAGCTTCTTGGAGATCCAAGTATATCTTTATTCGTACTTAAACGAAAATTTCTTGTAGCTTCCCCAACTTTTTTGTGAAGCATTTCGCTTTGTGGAATGAAAGTGGTACGATACCAAACTCTACTTATACGCTCATCAAGCAGCTCTACATGTCGTAAATTTGAACACCATTTTGATTCATTCGTAACGACTGTTCTTAGATCCAACTTGGTGGCTCAAACGATGGACTTTGCCACTTTTTGAGCTTAGGCGGCTTGGAAATGCTCCTCGACTGCGGTGTCAAGTTACAGTCGCTGCAGAAAATTGTCCAACAAGATGGAAGTTCTGTCTACCGTCTAGATCTTCCAAAGCTTAATTCTGTGGACCCAAGTTCTCTGGACGTGGTGCTGATATCAAACCATCAGACTCTACTGGCGCTGCCAATACTAACAGAATTTTTTGGCTTCACGGGCCAAATTTACGCTACGCAGCTCACTCTTGACTTTGGGCGTGTGTTTCTGGAAGAATTAGCAGCTTTGACGCATGGAAATAACTTTGCAAACTTCACTTATGTAGGAGTGACGGATGTAACGGAACTTCCAATGTATTCGTTGGAAGAGATCAAGAGGTGTTGCGAGAAAGTCAACTGTGTGGAGTACGGAGAGGTCGTAAAACTGGGGTATGGCGTGCAAGTTACAGCATTGAGTTCAGGATTTACTTTGGGAGCAAGTACTTGGCTGGTCGAAGGACCGAACGACCGGTTGGCATACGTTGCTGGAGCGTCAGGAGACTACAATCGTCATCCAAAAGAATTAGATTTGTTGCCGCTTGTGGATTGTGAGACGTTATTGTTGTCAAATTTAAAGCCAGATCGGGACCCTCATAGCAATACGGAAAGAATGGTCGAGCGAGTATTAAGTGAAATAAACAAAGTCCTGGAGCGTGGAGGCGTGTGTTTACTACCAATAGCGCCTTGTGGCATCATGTTTGATCTCATCGAGGCAGTGTATGCTGCATGTGTCCAGAGCAAGCAGAACGTTCCAATGTACTTTATCTCGGATTTCGCGACCCGTGTCATGGAATTAACTCAGCTTGGAGCGGAGTGGCTGTGTGAAAAAAAGATTGAGAAATTGTATGCTGGTGAAGATGCCTTTCTGCACGAGTCTCTAAGAAAAAAAAACCTGTTTCATGCTGTATCTAACGTGTCAGCTGTCACGGCGGCTACCTTTCAGGTACGAGCAGCTCGTGTTTAAGAATTTCATTTGATTTTCTAATATTGATGTAGAATGGTAGCATCCTCTTCGTGGGCCACCCATCGCTCAAATTTGGTCATGCTCCACATTTAATTAATATGCTGGGAAATGAAAGTCGAAATGCAGTCCTCCTGACTGGTATGCTTCACTTTAAGACAGAATTCATGCTCGTATTATTCAAGCCGCTTCTTTTCATTCGTAGACCCATCTGTCGATGCGACTAAAGCCTTTGCCAATTTTCAGGATCTTCCAATTGAAAAAATTGCATGCCCAATTGATCCGCGATTAAGTTGTGGAGATGCCAATCAGTTTATTGCGCGTTGCTGTCCCCACAATCTGATCGTTCCATATGAATTTACGATCGCACAAACTGGTACTGCAGGTGATGGAGCGGAGACATCGTCGCACTTTGCACGTATTCTTCCGCTTCATGAGCTTACAACCGCGAAATCCAAGATTGAGCTGCAAACCTTTCCAATAAAGCAGTTTGAGCCCATTATAATCGAGAAGCCGTCCAAGTATTTTGATGGTAAACTTGACCCGAAGGTATTCATTTCGCTATATATATTTCAGTGTCTGTAGTAGTGCTTGACACAGTACTCGTGTAGCTTGCAGCACAAGCCACAATTACCGAGGTAAATGGGAAAGCTGCAGCATGCATCAGTGGCGTGCTTCGAGTCAGACGAGGTACCTTTATGCTAGAACCGTCGTGTGATACTCCTTTTCCTCTTGACAACAACGACGCCTCAAAACTCAAGAGCAGTGGAAAGCGCAAAGCGTCTTTAATCACCGAAGAAGATATGACCAGATCACTCCGAAACATAGTCTACAAGGAACCAAGCAGTTTTCTCATGGGCCAAGTGAGCGAAGAAACGCTTGAAAAGCAAGTGAAAACGGTGGGTGTTCTGCTTTGATGCTGCTGGTGATATAAGATAATTATGCTGACTACCGCTTTTACAATCAAGCACGATCCGCGAGCTCAAGTCTACATCTCACAGGGCCAAGGAGATGCAGACGTCTTTATGAGTATTCCGTCTCTAGATGCCCGCATTACCTTGTGGAAAGAGACTGGCAAGACTCTAATTGAGACGGAAAAAGAGGATGCTCGAGCTTTGTTGACATCGTTCATTTTAGCTCAACTGGTAGTGGTCACCCAGGGTTAAACATAATATAAAATTTCAATGTTTCGATTCGCAAAATAGATGATGCACGTTTGACGGTCATCGTGTTATTTTTGGCAGATTTGTGTCGAGAGCTGTGGAAAATGGAGCGTGTCGAGGATGGTTTGAGCCTAAACATTGTCCCGCCATTGTTTCATGCTGGTACTTACAATGTCCGCTGGGTAAACTCCTTTTTTAAAGGTTGACGTATGGTGCTTTGGTAGGTATTTCAAACAAGTTCACCAAGCGCCATCATAATAATTTTCGCGATACCACGTTGACAGCAGCTTCTGCAGCAAAAGAGCGAGCAGAGCGTAAGCTAGTACGACAAGCAGATGCGATTGAGAAACAACAGCAAAAGATTGACAATGAGGTGAGAGAAAAGGAATATGTGATTCCTTTGTCTTGAAAGCTCTTACGTCCGTATATTATTTACTTTTCTTAAACAGATGAAGAGAATCGCTGAGATGACTCAAAATCTACATCGCCAACAACTTCGTGAAGCCAATCGTCTTCGAAATCGACTTGTCTTTGCCGCATCGAAGCTTCAAGGTGCTTATCGACGCCATTTGAGACGCTTGGACCAACAGAAGCAAGAAGCTGCTGAGGTTATTCAGACTGTATCGCGGGGATTTCTTGCTCGACGTTTGTGTTGCGCACTACGTTTGGAGCGCGAATTGAACATTCAAAACCGCTCGGCCAAGATTATTGCAAGGTTGATTCGACGATTTACAGCTCGAATCGTTCGAGCGAGAGAATTGAAACTCCGACATTGGGCAGTATGTAGCATTCAGAGTATTGTCCGCATGGCTGCTGCTCGAAGTCACGTTCAAGCTCGGCGCAAAAAGCTGACGGAAGCAAAACTGCAATTTCAAGCTGCAGTCATAATTCAATGTAACACGCGAGCTTTCTTGACGCGACTAATTTACCTCGACGTTCTTTATTTGATTTGTCGAATTCAAGCTGCTATGCGTGGATTTCTCGTGCGACATCGTTTGCGGTGGCTCCGAGCAGTTGATGATAATGCAATTTCGATTCTGCAAGCTCATGTACGTGGCTTTTTAGCCAGGAGAAGGTATACAAATGAGCAAGTCAATAACCAGAAGGGTGCCAAATTAAGTAGTCGATCAAGTAAATTGTTTACTTTGAGCTCAGAAACAGATTTGCGAGTGCCAGGTTGTCCACAAGTACGAGCATCTACCTGCTCGATCGAAAATGTTGTGAAGCTTAAAACCTATGCAATGTCAACTCGTGCAAGATTATCAACTAGAATTGGATGGCAACCAAAACGGTCGTACTGGCTGCCAGCAGGTGCCAGCTTTAATCAACGGCTACCCATGATACCAGTACTTAAGCGTTTGATGGTGCTGGATCAAGTCACCGCAGGTAATAAAGACTTTCTTGGAGACGACTTTCAGCTTTTGAATCAGAGCTGGACACCTAAAAAGCGACCGCAACAGAAACCGAGCTCGGTTCGATTAAGTCCCGTTGTATTACCGTCGAGTAGTGTTGCAAGTTTTGAACGAGTGGACCAAAACGCCAGTAGATTTGATGAAGAGGAACGAATTCGTCAGAAAGAAGACCTTAAACAAAAACTAACCACTCGACGAAACGCTGAAAAACGCCGACAAGCTCACTACTTGAAACTACAAAGTTTTGTTGAGGTAATCCTGCTCGAAAACTCTTGATTTGCTCTCTCTCACTCTTGTTCAATGCAGCATGAAGCTAATGAACGGAGGCTGATGGAGCGAGAAGAAAAACTTGTACGTCTTCAGCATAAAGTTCTACGCAGACGGTCGAGAGAGGGAAAAATTCGTCAGTTGACACATCATCAGCGACAAGAAGAGCGAGAACGACTTGCAATGGTGCGAGAAGAGAGGCATCAAAGATTGCATCTCAAATTTTGTGCTCGTCAGCGGCTGAAAAAGCGTCAACAACTTGCCATGGCGCCTACAACATTTCGTGAATTAGAACTGCAACCTCCAACAACTTCAAAACGTTACGAAAAAAACATGCGTTCAAATTCTCGTCAAACTGTTAAAAAATCTCATGAAAGCCGAGATGACAATGTCAACAAGTTATCATCTCTGAACATCATACCGACTTCGATGAAACGACGTAAGCGTTTGGCTGGCTCGAAGAAGTCTGGCAAGCTGGTGCATGCGAAAAAAAAAAGAATTCGAGGAAAGAACATGAAGAGCAAAACAATAGCCATGCGTCTAGTGAAACCTCTTGAAAACAAGATAGCAACTGAAGAAAATGTGTGCGAGTACGGCGAAGAATTTGAAGAAATCGTCGACGAGGCAGCTCTCACTTCTTTAATGTGATAAGCTACGAAGATTTTAAATGTGATTAAGGAGTTTCTATCCGATATTGACAGCTAAGTGTCTATGCGACGGAAAAGGTAGAGGTACCCAGCACCTAGGGGCGGTGTCTCCGAAAGGGCTACTTTGTCATCATTGAATAGAAGCCAGCGACCATTCTTCTTTATGTGACAGACATAGTGTCCAGAATTGGTTGTCTTGCCTATGTGGCTGATAAAACCTACAAGTGAGTAGTTCTCAGGTGTTTCAGTATCCAGTCGCTTGACTGCATCCTCAGATACTATAGGTCCAGCAGATTGGCTCTCACACTGAGCCACGGCACCATCTAGATCGTCCATGCGGCTAAACAACCACTCTGCAGCGCGGTCGGGATTGTTGTCGGTTTGTTCAAGTGCACATTTGACATGCGACTCAGCAAAACCCATGGCCATCAAATTAGACACAAGTGTCACGTCGACAACGCCATCTTCTGCTTTAGTTAAAGCATCAGCCAACCCAGGCGGATCATTAAAATCTGAGTCTTCCATATGATTAAAAATCCACTCCATCGCAGCTTCAACGTTTGAATTGCCGGTTGCAATTGCAGCACGCTTGCAGCCATTCTCAGAAAAACCCATGGACACCAGTTGAGACACAAGAACTTCGTCCGCGGTACTCACAACAGCACTTTTGGTTGTTTCACTCTCAGGCATAAGTTCTTCACCATCAAGTAGTCCCTTGGACACAAAGTGAGCCAAAGAAAATGTCTCGGGTACTTTAACTTCAACCTCCATCTTCTTTGGTGTCCAATTTTCCGCTACGTAGTAGCGTCGCATTTGCACGAGCAAGTATCGAGGAAACGAGTGAACACGAACAGTTTTTTGTGCTTGTCCTTTTCTACTTGTTGCAGGAAACAAATAATCTTCAATCACTTCCGGTGCAAACGTCCTTTCAAGACACGCTGCAAATGGCACGTTCGGCACGACCCGTTCTATGACTTCGATCTTTCCCACATTTTCAGTATCGCCAAGACGCTGTCGCTTTTGCTCGAGAACTTGGTAGGCACTTACTTGAGTTGCATTTGTCGCCGCCTCCAAAGGAATCTGTAACTGGAGAACCATGTCATCACGTAAGATATACTTCACCTTGTTGGAATCCATACACTGCACGCGGTCTTCCAGCTTAAACTTAAATAGATTCGCTGTTGGAAACTCTGCACCCGTGGCAGTATCTTCCTTAAAAAGCGATCCGAGACGATTCGCACTTATACGCTCTGCACGTGTCATGAACTCAAGCAAAAACTGAAGATACTCGATCGCATCTTGTTGTTCTCCAGTCGAGAAATCGGGATGCCCCTTCCCAACAAGACTGCGAAATGTACTTGGTCGCAAATCCACATTATGCAAGGTATCTTCTTCCACCTGCTTTCCATCTGTTGGCGATAGAAATTTCTTTGTATATCGATCTGTCAACACTGCACACGCGAGCTTCGAGAATTGTGCAGCGAAGTCATCGACGGGCATTGCGTTTACCGTCGAAAAGATTTTTTCAGATTCCTTAAAGTAACGTTCCTGTACCTCAGGTAGAGCTAGCAAAAGCTGCAGGACCGAATTCATGTAGCAGCTATTCCCGAGATTTTTAAAACCTATGCTCCCTGCCCCCGATACCGGCACTAATTTCTTGCCAGCTTCAGTCACGGCATCAAATTCATACGATAAATTGAGTCCCACTTGTAGCTCATTCATCGATTTGTCGGTTTTTTTCAAGTTGTTAATATTGATGCCAAAGTGTTCCAAATGTTTGGTTAGCAGAGGATTTCTCACCATATCGTCTTCATCTGGTGCGTAGCTATACACGTCTCCTCCTTCAGCTGTGATTGTACCGAGTTTCACAGATAATGGAAACTTGCCTCCCGTTTCACTAAAATGTTTTGAAGCTGCTCCACATCCTCCCGACCCATCCCAGTTTCGACGACCACAACCAATGTAGCCATCCGATAGATTAAGCCACAAATTTTCTTGCTTGTCACAATCGGGAGCTTGGCATTTCCATGCCGTCGGATTTGATGCAATGTGTGGTGGATTGGGGACTTGCACCAGATCATCTGCGTACTTGGTGAACGCGAGTTCTTCTTGCCAAGAAGCCACCTCTTCAGTAACGGCATTACCTGCATGGTTAAGAACCGCTTCAGCTGCTTCTTCAAGCGACAAAGGGAGATTGGGAGAGTCTAAAGAGACTCGAGCGAGCTCCTGGCGGTCAGAACTCAGTATAACGATATTAAATGACTTTTCAAGCTCGTAGTTATCGTTCCCTAACGCGGAAAAGCCATCAGGTCCACCAATAGCAAGCTTTGTGGGAGCTTCTACATCATTTGAAGAAGAAAATCGAGGTTTGCGCTTGTGCAGCTGGTGCAAGTAAACATAAGGAGCATCGCTTCGATCATAGATGAGATACGGGGCTCCGTAGGAGAGAAAAGTAGAGAGATTTGTGTAGAGACCTGAGGGAGAGAGGGCTGAATCAAACGAGAGGACGCACTCATCACGATATACACGGTCTGAGGCCTTCGCGATGCGCACGCGCGAAGCCGCAGATTGCAGATGAAGAATCGCTTCTGACATGATTATGTGTAATATTTGATATAGATTTCATTAAATGAAGATATCTTAAGCGAAATAAATGCAGCCTCCTTTAATTTTCTTGTGGATTATTGCGAATAAAAGCTAGTCTTGTGGTTACACTTGATCAGTTTAGACGGGGATAACATAATAGTTGGTTTGACAACTTTAGGTTTAGTTGTTTCTCTATCATTGTGTAACCAACACGTTACTTCGCTTTGCTATTTATAAATTACAGATATTAACGGTTTTTTCGAATAGAAGACCTTCTACTATAACAAGCCCCCATCGAATTTTCGACAATGTTCTAGAAGTAAGAGACCGCTTCGATTAAAAGACCTCTTCATATAAAAGGCCGCTGTAAACGCCTTAGCATTGGGCCGTTATTTTGAAATCGACCATGCGTCAAGCGATTGAGCTCGGAAAGTGGCAGGAGGCGATCAAGTGGATCGTCGAGCAAGGTGGTGGCGTGCCGAGTCGCGCGGCGCCTCACTTTCGCGAGAAAGGGTGGAGTGTTGATGCTGCCACATTTCGAAAGTCGTGGCGCAACAGAGACGAGATTTTGAGTGCTCAC